CTCCGCCCCTTTTCCTGGATTTTCCGGTCCATAAAATTTGAAAATCTGTCTTTTTTATCTCAAAAAATCAAATTTCTTCCTTCTCCTACTCTCTTTTTTTTCCTTTTTTTGTTCTATTTTTAAAGACTTTTTGGCTATTTTTAGAGACAGAAAAAGAGATTTAATTTATTTTTTTTGACAGAAAAATGATGATGGCGGGGGAGGAAAAAGGGGGGGGGGGTACTTTATGTTTTTTCTATTCGGAAAAGTTCAAAAAACGGAGAGATTTTCAGATTTAGAACACCTAAAATTGGGTATAAAAATGGCTGAAATTCTATAAAATTTCAGTTTTTAGCTTCCAATTTCGAGTTTTCTAAAAATTTTGATTTTAAAATTTTCAGAAATATAAATTTTCGGTTTCCAGAAATTTAAGATTTTCCACATTTTCAGAAATTTTAGAAATTTAAGATTTTCCACATTTTCGGATTTTCACAAATTTCAGGTTTTCAAAATTTCGAATTTTTAGAAATTTCAAATTTTCAGAATTTCAGAATTTTTAGAAATTTCAGATTTCTCAAATATTTTGGATTCTTGAGAAATTTCAGAATTTCCAATTTTTGTAATTTTGAGAAATTTCAGATTTCCCAAGCATTTTGGATTTTTGAGAAATTTTAGATTTCCAACTTTTCAAGGTTTTGTGATGTGTACGATTTTTCAGAACAAATGAATTTTCAGCTGTTATTTTTTTAAGAGCTTAAAACCCCTTTTATTTGTCCACCACAAGAGAAAAAAGCTCTAAGATTTGACACAAAACGTTTTTTTCCCAAAATAAAATGCCATGAGGATGAATTTGTCTCTGAAATTCAGCAGTAGTTCCGTTTCGTCTTGTAAAATGTCTGAAAATTTCAGATTCTTTCAAATTGAACGAATCCAACGTCATCAAGAAGATTTGTGCTCATTTGTTGTTGTTTTTTTTTCAATGTTTGGCTTCATTTTATTTAAAAAAATTAATAGAAAAATGTTTAAAATTTCTTTAAAAATCGAGAAAGTGGACATTGATCAGAATTTTGAGATTCTGAAAAATCGATTTCGAAAAACGTAAATTTCTCAAAATTCAAATTATTTGAAAAATCTGAAATTTCTAAAAGTTAAAAAATTTGAAGAATCCGAATTATCTAAAAAACCTCAAATTTCGGAAATTTGAGACTTCTAAAAATCCAAATATTGTGGAAAATCTGAAATTTTTTAAAAGCAAAAACTCCGGAATTTTGGAAGCTCTAAAAATTTGGAAATTGGAGAATCTGAAATGTCTGAAAATATTTTTTTTGTTGAAAATTTGAAATTTCTAAAAATTCAAAAATTTTTTTTTGAATATTTCGAAACTTTCCGACAATTCTAGTTCTCAGAATCCGCTCCTGATTTTGATCAATTCATTTTTTTAATAAAAAAGAATTTAAAAAATCCCCCAAAACTTTCTCAAAACTTCCAAAAAATTTTTAACTTCCAGAAAGTTCGGAACCCACGCAGTGGGGAGTCCAATCATCAATAATTAATACTCCACTTATCCTTTCTCTCTCTCTCTCCCAAAAAGTGGGCGGAGCCTAATCTTTCGAGGAGGGAAACCTTTTTTTCTAATTATATGCTCTTCTTTTATTTATTTGCTCATTTTCCCGGAAAATGTTTAATCCCGAAACATTTTTTCTCCATTTTTAGATTTTCAGAGTTTAATTTTAATTTTCCAATTGAAACTTTTATTTGGATTTTTTCAAATTTTTTGTTTTTCGAAAAAAGAAACTTTTCAAGTGGTCTCAAGATTTTTGGTTTAGGATAAATTTTTTTTTTCAAAAAAAAGTTTCAAAAACATTTTTCTGGAACCGAGCCAAAAATCTCACAGAATTCGAAATTCATAGTGACAAATCTTTTTTTTTTTGGACCATGAATTTTAAATTTTTGCCCCGTCTAGTTTTTGAGAAAAGAATTGAAAATTCTATAATTGGACACAGATTGTGAAAAAAAAGCCACGTCATTTTTTAAAGGTTCAGAGATTTCAAAAAAAAAAGTCTGAAAATCCAGAATTTCAGAAAATTCGAAACTCTTGTTTAAATGTTGGAAAGTTGATTTTTAGAAATTTTGGATTTTCAGAAACATCAGATTTCTAAATTTTCTAGATTTTAGGAAATTATAGATTTTCCAAAATGTTTGAATTTTTAGAAATTTCCAAATTTATTGATTTTCAAAAATTCTAGATTTTTCTAAATTTGGGATTTCTAGAAATTTCAGGTTTCTTAAATTTTTTGGATTTTCAGATATTTCAGATTTTCTTAAAATTTAGGATTTTGAGAAAATCAGAATTTTTTGATTATTGGAAAAGTTTTGGGTTTTCAGAATTGCTAGATTTCTCAGCTTTCGAAAATTTTTGTTTTCTTTCAAAATTTGAATTTTTAATATCACATTTTCTAAAAATCACAATTTTTGGAAGTTCTGAATTTTCAAGATTTGAATTTTCCAGTTTTTTTGAAACAATTTCTATGAGAATTTCAGACCAAAGACTCATATTTTCCTCTTTTTCTGACCTAATTTGATCCATTTCCTCATTGATTATCCTTTTTTCTTCCCACACACATTTTTTCCAATTTTCCAGAAAAAAAAATCCCAAAAAAAAAGATTCTAAAAATAGAAAAAAACTCCACTTTTTTACCTAAAAATGTCCCCGAAACCTATAATTTTCTTTTCAAGTTCTCCCTATTTTTTTCCTTTTTCAGGAAATCCAAAAAAAAGTTTTTTGGCTCTTTTTTGAAATTTTTAATTCTCTGAATTTGGGCTCAATTTTTCCTGTTTACTCATCTCAATTATCTAAACTTTAAAATCTGAATAGAAATTTGAATTTCCGCCAAACCTTTCAAATTTTGCAGGTAACACAAATGGCGCCGATGCGGCGCTGGATTATATTACTACTATTTGCTGTGCTGCTCGTCTCACAAGTCATGTAAGTTTTTTGGCTGAAAACTTCAGAGTATACTAAGCAAAACTTGAACTTCATTTTTGTAGTTGACAACTTTTTTCCAACTACGGTAGTTTTGGAGATAGGCGCTTTTAAAATGCACTCCCTCGGTGAAGGCAAAGAGGGGGGGGGGGGGCGCAAACTTCAAAGGCACACTTCTCAAAAACTACGGCAGCTAGAACAATTTTGTTAATTAAAAAAGTATGTAAAATTTTAATTTCTACATTTTTGTAGTTAACATCTTTTTTCTAGCTATCGCAGTTTTTGAGATATGCGCCTTTTATTTAGCCTGCCTCTCGGCCTGGTGGCGCCCGCACTCCTTCGTTCTGCGCGGTAAGCAAAGGGGTGTGCCATTTTTAAAGACACGTATCTCAAAAACTACGGTAGTTAGACAATTTTTCTAAAAACCATTGATTGTATTATTAAATTTCACATACTTTATTAGTTGACAACTTTTTTCTAGCAACCGTCGTTTTTGAGAG